GATTCGGATTACGAACTGTTGTTAAATCGGATATCCTGATCTGAACTGGTTTATTGCACGGATATAAAAAATAACCTATAAATAATTTGATGTGATGATGAAATAAGATGAAATAAATAGAATTGTGAATGTAAATTATAACAATGCCACCTACGCAAGTATTACGCATTTGAAGGACTGATACTTAATTTATTGCGTTATAACTAGTACATAATATTTGATGAATTTGCTTGGAGAAAAATATAAATAATACATTCTTATCTTTTATCAACAGTCTTGTTATTTACTGAATCAAAGTTTTCTAAAACTATTAAAAGCTATTTTTTAAAACTATTCATTTGCTCAAGAACTTTAAACCGAAGGTAAGTACGATGTTTTTATCCTTTGAATTTGATTTTCATAGTCAGAAACCTTGTACAGATATTAGTGTAATGATTGTTATGCAAACAATTGATTATTATCTCACTATCGATTAGCGATTGCGGAGTTAGTAACTCCCTTTAGAGAATTACACGGAAAACAATTGCTAGCAATTATTTTTTATGTCATTCCTCGAGCCTAAAAGCATTCCTCAAGAGACTAATAATGAGTACGAGCAAATATTATATAAGCCGTAGCGCTAAACTCAATTGTAGTTGAAAAACAAAAAAAGAACACAAAACATTACAAGTAGTAATTTATACATAAATTCGCAAGTTTGTAATATAGTAATATCTCAAGTTTATCACGTTATATTTGAAAATTACTTTTTATACTTTCTGCATTACATGTGTTATCCAGATACTGTGCATTCTTCAAAATATTATATTTATATGAATCAAAATTTTACTTATGTTTTTACTTTTTACTCAGGCTAAGATTAAAGTTTTTAAAGTTTCATTGGTGTAGTGAGTTTATTAGATATGGACGAATCTAATCAACAACCAAGCCACTAACAACATAAGCAGACTAGAGACGAAATTTTGACAAATAGTAGAAAGATTTCCAAAAACTTATCTGGTCGGAACGAAAAAACGCCAAAATCTACCAAGGCAGGTGATAGTTCTTCTCATAAAAGAAAAAATGCTTCTCCATGGTGGGATCATTGTGAAAAAACAGATGATCCCTATTTGGCTATGTGTGTATATTGTCATAGATTAATCGGTTGTAGTTCTAATAACGATACCACATGTTTAGCCAATCATACAAAGAGGTGCAAGTTGTTCCCTGCTAATTTAGATAAAAAACAAAGAATATTGATCTTCGAACCCCTAAACTTAAGCAATAAGGACGGATCTGCTGAGACTTTTAGTATCTTGAAACCGTGGGTATTCAATCAAGAGACTTCTAAATGTGAACTAGCGAAGATGCTAAATATGGATGAATTACCTTTTATGCTCGTGGAACGAGACGGTTTTCGCTTGTTTTGAAAGTCCATGCATCCCGAATTTATAATTCCTTCACGTTTCACTGCTGCAAGAGATTGTTATCTCAATTTTTATAGAGGAAAAAAAGAAGTTAACGAACTAATTTAAGACGTTGTCTTCTAGAATCTGCTTAACAACCGATGCTTGGACTTCTGGTCAAAATCTGAGTTATATGTGCCTCACTGCTCATTTTATAGATGATAATTGGAATTTGCGTAAAAGAGTGATTTATTTTGGCCCAATTGCGGGTCATTCTGGACAGTTTATTGGTAGAGCAGATAAAAAGTGTCTAAATGAATGGGAAATTAAAAGCATTTTTACTGTGACAGTAGATAATGTAAGTTCTAATAAAGTTGCTTATGATTATTTAAAACGACGGTTTAATCACTGGGAGTGTAGTGTTTTAGATGGAAAGTTTTTGCACATGAGGTGTGCTGCGCATGTTTTAAACTTAGTTGTGAAAGATGGTCTAGCTGACCTTGATCTTTCAATTAAAAAAGCTCTTACCTTTGTAAAGTATGTAAAGTCTTCTCCTGCTAGGTTACAAAATTTCAAAGCTATTGTTGATAAAGAAAAACTAGATAATAAAAGTCTTGTTTGCCTTGATGTTGAAACTAAATTCAACATACTTGATGCTTGAGTCCGCTTTGAAATTTAAAAAGGCATTTGTTAATTTAATTTTGAAAGAGTCTAATTTATTAAAAGAGATGAACAAGGTTGATAAAGATAAAAAAAACCGAGGAGAGGAAAAAACTGTCAACTTGTCTGCCATTCTTAAAAGTATTTTACGATGCTACATTGAAGTTGTCAGCTTCACGTTATTCAACATCTAAGTACTATGTTGATACTATTTTTGGTGTTGGCTATGTGTTTTCCCAATATCTTCACCATGAAGATGAAATAGTTAGGCAAATGGCAGCACAAATGAAGTTCAAATATGATAAATATTGGGGTAACAGTGATAAACTTAATTTATTTATGTTTATTTCTGTTATCCTTCATCCAAGAAAAAAAAGATTTACGTTGATTTAATGGTAAAGAATGTTTTGTGATTGAAAGAACTAGTTGTTTGTCTTTGAATATATTTTATTCATTATTTGAGTTTTATGCTTTTTCAATGCCTCAACCAGAGAGTATAGCGCATTAGATGGTTCAGGTTCGACTTCTTCTGCCGGATTTTACAATAAGGATATAGAAAATGAAAAAAATGTTTAATTTTTCAGAATATTTGGGAAACACATTTGAAATAGAAGTAGGAGCTAAAATAAGTGAAAAAAAAGTTGAGTGGGAAAATATTTTAGAAGATAAACGTGAATCTAATGAATCATGCCCAAATGTGTTGGGTTGATAAAGGATAACAAACTTAAATATCCCACACTTGCTATGATAGCAAAAGATATTCTTGCCATTCCTGTACCTACAGTTTCTTTAGAGTCTGCCTTTAGTACAAGAGGTCGTGTCTCTGACTCCAAGAATGGTGGAGGCTTTAATCTGTGCGCAAGGCTACGTTCTTCTATTCATTCTTTCGTCATAGAAGAGAGTTTACTCGAACTTGAAAAATCGGAAGAAGGTTAATTTTCTTTTACTTGCTACAAAAATAATAATAATAAAAATAATAATCAATTATCTAGTTTTCAAACTCTAACTAATTATTTTTACTCATAGTTTTTAGATATGGAAAGTTTGACGTTGGAACAACCAGTCATACTTATTGATGAGACAATTAATGATATTTTGTGATTGATGTTTTTACAATTTTTAATAAAGTGTTTTTGTTTTTCTATTGTTTTTTTTTGTGCAAGAAAAGTTAATTTTTTAGTACGAAATATAAAAGACATTCATGAGCTCGCTTAAATAAATGTTTTTTTTTTTTGTACACTCAGACTGTTAAATACTTAAATGTTATTGTTGCAGTTCTGCGAGTTAAATTGCTAACTGTGTACTCTTGCGTGCCTAAATAACAGTAAGGGACTTTTAATGATTTTAAGAAAAATTCCTTTCCATCCCAAGCTTAAGTCAGTATATAAATTGAAATTAATTTTAAGAAAAAATTTCCACCAAACAAACACACCTCCCTCCTCGTTTTATAGTAAAACACACCTCCCTCCTCGTTTTATAGATATGACTAAAATTTCCACCACTACATTTATTCTCACATCCACTTGTATTAAGCACGGAAGTAAAATAAAATAAAAACTAGTCAACATGTTTGCAAAAGCAAAAGACAGTTCGGATCCGGATAATTCCGGTTTCCAATCCGAATACAGCGGATATCCGAAAAGCGGATGTTGGATAGCTAAAAATCCGAACCGGAATCGTTTCAGATTTTTAGCTATCCGAAAATTCGGTATCGGATTCAGATTTTAACGAACCGAACCGGATATTAGTCTTTGATCACTCCGCGGACCGAATCCGTCTGGGAGGGAGAAGCTACTGGAGGCAATCTTTAAATGGTTTTGCCTCTAAAATTTTTTCTGCAGGCGACCGCCATTGGCTTTCGCATCTGTATAGGTGTCGGCCTCCAAAAATTTTTGCCTCAAATAAAAAAAAACTCTTATTGCGGCCGCAAATAGATAGGTGGAAGCCACTGGAGGCGGAAGAAAAAAAATTCTGCCGTTAAAAAAAAATTGGGAGGCAGCCGCCGTCTTCTGCGCAAGAAAAGTGGAGAAGAAAATATTTAAGCCATTGATCAACACTGGTTTATTACAAAGCAATATTTTAATTGAATAAGATTTTATTTTTTAATCATCCTTCTGCGGGTTGGGCAACAACGCAACAAAAAGGATGTTATAAGGGTGCTAACAAACTATACTAGATGATTGAACAGCTTTCATTAACATATTTTTATTTAAGTGATTAATATGACAAAACACAGTAAAAGATTTTATCTGATAAAAACTCTTTTAATTATATATGTTATATCAGATAGTTTAAATGACTTAAAAATGTCTCCTTGCTGGATGATAGCAATCATCCGGCAAGAAACCATTCGGAATCAATCCGTCACTAGACTACTGGTATACCCGCATGTAGACTATATTTGCCCCTAATAATAATAGATGTACCCTTTATAATATACGTGAAAAAAATCCTTTCTTAATGCCCCACCACAAACACTGCCCACATACATCAGAGTATTATCTGATGTATTACTCAAAAATACCCTCAAACAGGCAGTGGATTTGAATACGCTACCTCAAAGTTTATCTTAAATCAACATATAATGACTGTACTTTGAGAAACTAAATATTTTAATTTACATTTTACTTACTTACAAAGTAAAGTATGAAATTAAAAAATAAAAAATCTTTATTTATAAATATTAATAACAATTTTTTTACTAGCAAACTTTCCAGTTCATTTTCAAGTAACAGTTTATTATTTAAAAAACTTAAGGTTGGTATTTTAGTTTTATACGTTATAGTATATACTATATTTTATGTAAAAAAAAAAGAATTACTTTTGAATAGAAGTAAATTATATATTTTTATATAAGTTACGTAAAGTAATTTACTCTTAAAAGTAATTCGCGTTTTTAAATCAATATAAGTTAAAGTGTGACAACTACTTAAAACTTTAAAAATAAATTCGAACCTAAATTTATTTCAATTTGATTGCATGCATCTTCTGCATCACATTCATTACCAAGAATCCACAACATGTTTTTGAATGCTTTTTCTTTTTGATTATGAGCTAAAAGCCACCATGGAGTTTCAGGCATATAAATAATTAAAAGACTTAGCAAAACCACAATCAACCCAGGTACAGCATAGTATTTTCCAATCTTTGAATAAAAATTTTCTTTAGTCAAAAGACATAAAAATATTCCGAATATTATTGCATAATAAGGTATGGAACCCATTATACTGCGTAAACGAGCTGATGATACTTCAACAATATAAACCTAAAGAAATATATATTCAAATATTTGTAATATATATGTATAAACATATATATATATATATATATATATATATATATATATATATATATATATATATATATAAAAAAAGATATATATATATAATTTGGTTGATAATAAACCAATCTTTTTACTTGTACTACGTATGTCTAAAATTAGTGTTAAAAAAACGTTTTTGACGCATTTCTTCGATTAGAAATTTCCTTAATATTTAAATTGTTTGAGTTGATTATGACGTCCTCAAAAAAGTATACCTCTGGATCTATATATTTATTCAAACAAAGTGTGTTTTGTTTGACAAATTTTGTTGCAATTAATTGTCAGTCTTTTTTATTATTAAAATATGCAAAATTGAGTTTAAAAATGATAATTTTTTTAGCAATATTTTGACTTGTTGTAAACTTTTTTTTTAATAATAAGTTTTGCACAACCTTCTATAACGTTTTCTCTTTTTGATTTCCTTTCGCTTCTCTAAAAAATTTCTTACTAAGGTTTGCCGTTTCCTTGCGAAAAATTTACGTAGATGTTAAGTCCCTTTAGTTCATTTTGTTTCTTTTAGCAAGGAGGCATAAGAGCTTAGATGGAGAGAGAACGAAGCCAAAAATGGATTTATATCGCGTTACAGTCTTTGCAGTATAATTATTCAAGGAGCAAATCAAAATGGCGCTTTAGCAAAAAAATGAAAAAGTTTTGAGTGAGTCGTAATCAAAGTTGATTAATAAAATAAAAGTTTGTTGGATATGTTATTAACAACTATTCCATCAATTAAGAAGTTAATTAAAGCAAAAATCGCTGTTAAGGTAAAGTATTTGTTTCTTGAGAACCTTTTTTATAGGTATAAATATCAATGTTTTAGACTCTACTACCTATTTAAACCTTATTTTTTGCCTTATTTATTAAATCCGTCCAGGATTTTATTTTTGTGTTGGAACATTTTTGCTGGATATAAAAGCAAACTGCTAATAATAGCAAAAGCAAACTGCTAATAATAGCAAAAGCAAACTCTAAATATAGAGACATAAAAAACATGGCAAAAACACTACCAACTTTTATCTAGACATTTATTAATTCAATTTTTTACCAATTTTAAAATTCTATATTTTTATTTGCTATGCTTTAATTGCTTATGACGATCTGAAACAGTAACTTTGTTAAAAGTATAATGCAATTGGTTAAACTCAAAATTATGATAATTCAGCGGTATTTAAAAGAAAATTATGTTGCTACTAAAACTGTTCTTAAAGAAATGACTCATTTTTATTTAGTTCTCCGTCCAGCTAAGCTATTATATATCCTTTATTTTAGGATATTTAATTTGCTTTTGATTTTAATACAGTACAGAATGGTGCAAATCCTCGAAAAATTGGCCATAATTCAAAATTTTTCAAAACATTATAAAATTAATTTTCGTTTTTATAAATGAAGTATACTCCTTATATTATCTAAAATATATAGGTTTGTTATTTATGTTTATTAACAGGACTGTTAAACCGACTTAAAAAATCTCATTTTTGAAACAAATTTTCATTGAAAAAGTGCAAAAGTTTTGAATTAATTTTTTTTTTTTTTTAATTGTTCGTAAGATATTTTTTTTTTGTCAGTGTGTTTAAGAAATCTTAATTTCTACGTCAAAAAGATTTCACTTACATAAAGTAAACGTTCAAAAATTACTATAAAAAATGCAAAAAAATGCAACTTTTTGGTATTTTGAATCGACTGTTCGTTAAAAAGACATCCTTCAGAAGCTAATGTTTATAAGGTTCTGGTTATATTAATACTTCATAAAAAAAATTCAGCTGTATATATTCGTATATATACAGCTGAATTTAATAATGTAAAACAATTCGTATAAAATAAATATAAATACAAAAATTTAAAAATTTTTTAAAAATACCAAAAATTGAGTCATGTTGCTAGGTTAAAAAAATGTACTTTTTTGTTTTAAATGATTTTGTACGTTCTGATTTTTATCGTGAATTTTTTGAAAAAACGCACATTTTTAAGTATTACATTTATACCGCCTGAGGATTAAAAACATTTTTTTTTTTTTTTCTATGCTACAAATGGTATATGACACTCTAAAAAATATTCAGTTTAAATTACTAATTTTTTTAGTTTTTATAACAATTTTAAAGTTAAGTACTTTTGATGCATTTAGCAATGATTAACAACAATTTTTTGAGTATTTTTGGAATCGCTTTATTTATTTCCATAGAAGCGAATTTTCTATCTAAATCAGTTAATCAGTTACACAAAAAATAAAATATGAATAAGATAATGGTGCAAAGACAAAATTAATATTTATGAATTCATTTATATTAAAAAAAAAAAATCATCAAAATATTAATTTACATAAAATTAAAATCTTAGTCAATTAATATTATTCATAATAGTACTCAGGCAATTCAACATCACTATTTATTAAGTCTATTATTGAAGCTTTGTATTAACCCACTATAAAAAACACCTTCTTCTTTATCTGCCTCTTCTTCCTAATCAATCTTTTCTTCTTCGCCTGCCCCTACTTGCTTGTTGGTCTTTTTTTTAACTTGCTGATTTATTTGGTTCGTTTTTTCCTCAACTTCAAGGACGTATGCCAAATCTGGTTTTTTCATTGTTTTAGCAGATATAATAAGAAGAGCTTTTCAATATAAGTAGTTTTTGATAAATTAGATAAAGCTCGCCTTTTAGTTTGATGGGCTTTTTCATCCCAGCATTCGTATTTTAGACCTTTATAAAAGAAATTTTTTCGAAATGGTATTTTTAAATTAATGACATATAATTATAAGTTTTTGTATTTATATTTAATGACAGCATTTATGAATAAATGACATTTATTTATAAATACTACTTATTTATTAAAAACAATAATTTATTATTTAAAAAACCTCTTGCTTTTTTGTGTCAGTCATTTAGAGAACCAGAAATATTGCTCCAAATCAATAAAAATGTGCGGATTGCACTGTTTCCTGAAGTAAAATTTTGTAGGTCCATTTTCTCTAATCTTTGCTTGTAACTGTCTTTCTTTTTTTTGTAGCCAAATTATGTAGCTTTTTGCTGAATTTTTTCTATTAAGTTTATATCTTAATAAAATATGGGTTCCACACTTGAAAAGCATATTCTAAGTGTGGCCGAACGAGTGACATATATAACAATTTTGTAGATGTTTCATCTGGATAAAGGATTGCGTGCTTTAACATACCCAATTTTTGATTCGCCTTACTTACCATTTTTTCAATGTGGTCTTCCCATTTTAAATTGTCTGAAATATAAACACCAAGGTCTCTTTCCAATGACGTTACTATTAGTCCATGTTGAATAATCTCTGTTTCTGTAGCATTATATTTTAAATTATACTTTATTTTCGGATTATCACGACCAAAATGCATGGTTTTAAATTTATCTTTATTAAAACTGATAAGCCATCTTTTAGTCCAGTTAAATAACATGTCAAGATCAAACTGTAGAGTTATTTATTTTATTTTTTTCTAGAACTGCAATTATTTTTAAATCGTCTGCATATAGTTTTGCTTTATTATTCAACTTTTTTGTTAAATCATTTATATAAATTATAAAAAGTAAGGGTCCTAAGACCGATCCTTGTAGTACCCCACTACGAACTGTTTCTCATTCTGATTCAAACAGTCCCAAAACAACTCTCTGATTTCGATTTGCTAAAAAAGCTTTACACCATTGCAACAATTTTCCGACAATACCAAATGACTTAAGTTTCAAGAGCCTGGAATGCGGAACTGAATGAAATGCCTTAGAAAAATCTAAAAAGGCAACATCAACACATTTTCCACAATTTATTGCTTCTGTTATTATGTCTAATGTCTCGAGAAGGTTTTTTACACAATTTTTTGATTTAATGAATCCGTGTTGTTCTGGTATTAATAACTTATTTTTATTTAAATGGTTCATTATTGTATCCTTAACAATACTTTCCATTACTTTACAAACAACAGAGGTCAATGAAATTGGACGGTAGAGACCTGCATTCAACCTATCCCTATTTTTAAAAATTGGAGTGATGTTTGCTTTTAACCAGCTTGTAGGCAATGTTCCAGTTAGAAATGATTGGTTAAACATCATACAGTGGTCTAGCTAAACTGTCAGCACACTTACTTAAAAACATTGGATGAATTCTATCGATACCTGGGGACTTGTGCACATTTAGATTCAATAATCGTTTTTTAATATCTTTCTCATTAAACAATAGGGTTGGACAAATTTTTTCTGTTATACTTTCACATGTAGGCATATTAGTTAGGCTTTTGTTTATGAATACAGAATTGAAAAACCGATTTAACTGATTAGCAATAACTTGACTGTCACTTCATTGTTTTCAATTGAAATCGCTCTTATATGGTTTTTGCTCTTATAATTTGCTCTTATAATTATAAATTGAAATTGCTCTTATATGGTCTTATATGCTCTTATATGGTCTTTAGCTTTTAGTTTACTGTTAATATAAGCATAAACTTGTTTTGGATTTTTTTTTGATTCTGTTGCAATTTTATTTTCATATTTTTGTATTGTAATCTTTACGAGTTTTTTAACTAACTTATTTTTTAGTTTATATTCTTCCTTAAGATCTAAATTTTTGAATTAAGAGGCTTTGTATCGATACCAAAGGTTACGCTTAAGTCGAATTTCGTGTTTTAATTCTTTATTCATCCATAAGGATCTTTTGCTCTCAGTTGTTTTTTGATTAAATGACGGTATGAAATCTTTACAGCCGTATTCAATAGTTCTAATAAAACTTTCATCACACTGATCAACATTAAGTCCAGTAAACTTATGACTCCAGTTAAATTTATTTAAATATTTTGAAAATTCATGATAATTCCCTTTCATGTATACTCGCTTTGTAGTAATACTTTCATTTTTGCGATTATGTAATTGATAATTAAAATTAAATTTTAAAACATGATGACCTCTTTTTGTTTTTCCCAAAGGATCCATATGTACCAAGCTGG